ACACACGGAAAGGCAAGTTAAGTATTCAACTGACAACAACACGGTAACAATGGTGGTCCGTTGTACAGCGAACAAGTCACAACTCTGGTGACTCTGGAGCTCCATAGATACACATTATTGTACAGATGGCTCGGGTTACCCTGGCTCATTCAACCCTGTTAGACTCATCATCATCTCAGGACCCTTGCCCCTTCCACAGGCAGCCCAAACCACGAATAGGGCTTGTCCCAGAAGCGCTGCCTTGTCGAACCCGCCAAAAACAATATGGAGACTCCCCAACACTACAGTCCTCTGTATTACCAAGATCGTGAGAAGGGCTGTGTTTCTGGCAGGAAACCCGGGTGTTCTTCTCACAATGTCAGTCATGAGAATGGGGAGTACCAAACCTAAGGCTCACGGAACAATGGGGAATCAGACAACTTGGTACTTGGGACGCACACACGCACGCACACACACACGGATAACCACTTTTTCAAACATACAAACACACAGCAAATCCCACACAGAGACCTATATACTCTAGCGCGCCTAGAATATTAAGTTAAATGAATGATTATCATAATGATGGGTTAATGAGAATTCATCATGACACCTGGTGTTCGCGAAAAGGGTAGCAAGACTTTTCTGCCGGTAGCACCCTTCATTCGTTAATTTACCTGTAACATTGCACCAAGAAATACTCCAGCTTTACTACAGATATCTGAAAAAACTGGACCAAACAATCCAGTGATCAGTATCAAGTCACCAAGCCTGACCATTTCATCGTCCTGATCCAAGGACCAGTAAGTCAGTGAGTTTAGTTTTACGCCACACTCAGCAATATTCCAGCTATGACCAGACAATCCAGTGATCAACAACATGAGCATCGATCTACGCAATAGGGATACGATGACATGTGTCAACCAAGTCAGCGAGCCTGACCGCCCGATCCCGTTAGTCGCCGACCAGTAAGTGCCACTAAGTACATTTATATCAACTTCCTAAAAATGGCATTATATGGGAAAGCATCGCATCGTGTTGACAGGCGACAGAATCGGGTGTCAAAACTTTGATTGAAAAGCCTTGCTCATAAAAAAATGCGTCTTTCCTTGAAATCTGAGTTATAAACTGTGGAACAGCTCTTTTTTCGTGCAATTGAAAATTGTAAGGACAGTTGTTGAATGTGTGTGTTTTGTTTATCCATCACTCAAAGATTCCTGCAACAGTTGGTTAAAACAGTCTGTAGCTGGGTAATTGTGTGTAAAGAAGAATTGGTTCGATTCCGACTTGGGCAAGAAATAAATATACAACCAAATGACCCCAACAATGTTTGAAATGTATATTTCTGAGATACCATTAAGCATGCATGCGAATATGCTAGGGTCATTAAACTCCAGATTATTCTGTCAAATGATGTGGAAACTAACCCAGGCCCAGCCCAAAAAACTAAGAAAGATATAAACTCTGTTAGGTGTGACATTGTAAACGAGATAAAATAGTTTAAACAGCTCATGATTGCTGAAATATCAACAGTCAAATCGCAATTGAGTGACCTATTAGACAAATGCTCTACTCCAGAACATACTGTGACGGATATCCGCAAAGATATCGATAGATTATCACAAGAACGGAGTACTGTATACAATGATGTAGACGAATTAAACAGGAAACTAGAAAACATTGTGGATAAGCTAGATGATATTGACCATTTTATTTTAGATAATCCTATTACTGAGTCTGAAATAAGCTCATGTCTCAATCATTTAAGAGGGGGTAAAGCAGTTGGACACGACGGAGTTATAATTGAATTGTTACAGTCTTCCGAAAATATCATCATGCCTTTCCTTGTGAAATTGTTTAATATGCTTTTTGACAAATGGTTTTTTTTCCAAATGCCTGGAGTAAAGCTATCATAGTGCCTCTTAATAACAAGGGCGATCGAAGCAACCCAGAAAATTGTAGAGGAATATCATTACTATGCGTATTAAGTAGACTATATACATCTATCTTGCATATTCGTATTACGAATTGGCCTAATATAAGAGACAAGATACCAAAGAGTCAGGCAGGGTTTAGACAGGGACTTCCAACCTTAGACCATATTTGTACTTTTAACTGGAATTATAGAAAAGTGTCTCCTTAAAAGAAAAAAGAAATTATACGTAGCGTTCATAGATTTCAAGAAAGCCTTTGATTCTGTTGATTGATCAAAGTTCTGAAAACGTTTCTGTAAAACTGGTATAGGAAGGAATTCAATTATTAGTATATATCATTCTGTAAAAGCTTGTGTTAGATGTAATAATGTAGACACCAATTATTTTGAATGTCCAGTGGGTTTAAAACTAAGTTGTGTACTTATTCCCATATTGTTTCTTTCTTCATAAGTGAATTGTCAGTTGAACTATCAAAACATGGTAAATACGGCATACAACTTTTTCCTGATTTGTCAGAAATTCTACTTCTCATGTTTAAAGACGATGTTGTACTTGTATCGGATACTGTTCCTGGAATACAAAACCAGCTCAACATATAACATGATTTTACAGAACACTCCGGTTTAATTGTGAATTTCGAAGGGGTTGACGCTTAGATAAGCATGAACAGTGTTGTTTAAATGAAAAGAAAATTGCTGTAGTAAATAGCTATAAATACCTTGCTATATTGTATTCTTTAACTCATAAAATGGGAGGCTGTGTTGCTGATTTAGCGATGGGAGGTACGTGCATTAATGGAAGTAATCTAAATCAAGTCGGAATGGTAAATTGTAATGTTTTCTTTAAAATATTTGACAAGCAAATACAACCAATCTTATTATATGGCGCAGAAATATGGGGTATGCACACATTTGATAAACTAGAAAACTATGTAAAAGAGTTTTAAATGTTAGTCCTCAAACCCCAATGGGGAATTCGACAGGTATCTGCTTTATATTGACACAATGTGTAAAACATTAAGATGTTGGCTACGAGTTTTAGAATTGCATTAAAACCGGATCTCACGTAAGGTATATAGAGTGCAATCATATTTATTCAACTGTGGTTACAGTACTTATGCATCATATATTCGAGCATCTTATTCTCACATGGGTTTGGATGGATGTTTCAATCTGTAGGAGATATATCCTCTTTTAGTAATGCCTTTGAAAATAGAGCTATTAATATGTTCTTCCAATCGTTGAATTGTACTCTGAATAATAGCTCCAGATTTGGTATATATCGTGAATATGAAAGCATTTTAGCTCCGGAAAAGTATTTAGATTGCATTATTGACAAAGTTTTTTAAAGTTCTGATGTGGTTTATTAAGAATACAATATAAATGAAGGGGATGTTTAGGAACTGATAAATCTCAACGTTTATGTCCATATTGTAATTTAGGTACTGAAGACGAGTACTATTTTTTATTCATTTGTACATTATATGACACTTTACGAATTAAATACTTTCCATGTGGATATCGTGAAAATCTAAACATGTACAAATTTAGATCGACTCTATCAACGGATAATGTACTAGTTTTACAAAGCTTAAGTAAAGTTTTATGGCATGCATATAAATTAAGAGAGAGTATATGCAAAACTTGAGATGATATTTATCATATATACAATATATGTTCACCATAATATATATAATGCTATGTTTTGTAAACTATGACAATATTGCAATTTATCTTATATATAATAACCTGTATACATTTTGTGCCTGGGGCCTTCGTATTGGAAATAAACACATGACTTGACTTGGTGACATGAAAACAATAGCTCCATGTACTAAGCGCCAGCACAGTTCGTTTGTGGTTTTAACATCGCTTACTTCAGATATATCCAACGGAAAATCAAATAAGGAAATTAGCGATGTGAAAATTGAAATCACCCCTCAACAACTTCTGTTTGTCATGAGAGACGAATTGTCAGTCCCCACTTTTATCAACAGTCCAACAATATTCCGACGGGGGCACACAAATGGGTGTCGAATAATGCACCCATGTAGGGACTCGAACCCACGTCGTCTGTGTCCTTAGAAAACACGTGCACCACTACGAATGTCAGTGTCTGGCCGTAGGTGTGTCAAGGTCATTGTCTAGCCATTGGTGTTTCAAGGTCAGTGTCTGGCTGTTGTATCAATGTCAGTACCTGGCCATTGTGATGTTGAGGTATGCGCTTAGTCAGTGAAGTTTGTCAAGGTTAGTGCCTGGCCATTGTTGTGCCAAGGTTAGAGCCTTACCAATGAGGGATTCATAGGCGAATGAACAGCTCAGAGTTTTGCACTCCATCTGACTCTATTTATAAACCAGTTCCAAGTTTCGGTAACTTCACCGTGTCAAAACGGACGATGTTATATTTCAGTATCATGAGAATTAAGGAAGTAATTTAGAACACATAATGCTTTGCGTGCAGAACACACAGGTAGAAAATATCGTGCGCGAAACGTAGATTTATTTGCATGAAACATGCAGGTTTTTGCATTAACCCGAACACTGGGTGAGTGAGGGGTATGACCTGCTCACTTTTGGAAGCAAACAATGAGATGGATGAAAAAGTGATATGAATATATCCATAGAGGAAAGGGTTTGTATGGATACCTATATTGTTTTTGCATCAGGTTACATATGTTATGTAGGATGTCTGGCATTGCCAAATAAAGAAGAGGAATCGACAAGTATTGTGTGTGTTGCAGAGGTGAAGATCGTGAGTAGGGCAGATCGGTTGAAGGAGCACAAACAGCAGCTGAAACAGATCAAGAGGAGATACGGTCTGGAGGTGAGCTGAACCACTGGAGAGGTTTCCAGGTCCCCATGTCTATCTACATGTGTGTCCTGGCTGACTGTGTTTCAGTGGACCCAGGTGGATTAGACTGCTGTAAGCTTTGGTCCCAGACTCTCAGTTATGAATATATACTCCCCATCAAAAGTTTAGACTCACTAGTGTAAATGTAGCCACTTACTTCAGTCAACTGATCTAAACTATATTTTGCAAAATATTCTGTGCAGTTTAAGGGTACTGTTTATACATAAACTGACCAATATCAACTCAGAACAAGGGCCGCAAGCTGCTGGCCAAGATGGGCTGGAAGGAAGGTCAAGGTCTTGGCAAGGACAATACAGGAATAGCAGAACCGGTTAGTGAAATACGTCATGATTTGAATATTAGAAAATTGACAAAATCACAGTTAATTCTGTGATATAACAGCTAAATACATAAAAAATCTCAATCCCAACATACAGTCATTCAGATTTGATGGAAAAGTTCACTTGCCCCTGTTTCAGATCAATGTGATGCTGAGGACCAATCAGGCAGCTGGATTAGGGTCTGGGGCAGCAGTTCAGAAGAGCCTAGATGACGTGCAGACGGCGGGGAAGAGTCAGCGATGGCTGCAGGCCCAGAAGAGATACAACAAGCTGGCTAAGCAGACTGTTGATCTAAGCAAACCCACAAACATGTCCCTCTCCTTCAAGAAAGGCCCAACCATCAAACTCCAGCCAAAGGTTGACCTTGGGGCAGGAGAATCTGATGAGGATGGAGACTGACTTGATGGAGCAGTTTGTGCAGAACTCCCGTCAAAGGATACCCAACACATGTGATCAGATACTGATCTGTCAGCCAGTCGAACAGACCTGTATCACTGTGTGCTCATTCCCACAGTGAACTTAGGCCCTGAAGGAGTGTGTCCCGGGAATGGTTTTGAAAACAGGAACTTGCGACAATCCAGGAGGTGATGTTGCGATGACCAGTTTCACAAAGCTGATGATCAGTTCTTCATCATTCACTCGGGTGGTGGGGTGGGTTAGCCTTGTGGTTAAAGCGTTTCGCTCATCACGTTGAAGACCCTGGTTCGATTCCTCACATGGGCAAAACGTTTGAAGCCCATTACTGGTCTCCTACCTGCCATGATTTGGCTGGAATATGGCTAAAAGCGTCATAAAACCAAACTCAGACACTCATAATTCATTATAAAAAACATTAAACATGTTCACTTTTTTTTGTTGCAATTATGATCTATTCCCAAGTTCCAACTTGTCACATTGGCAAGAGGGTATTTCCAGGCAGGATTGATTGTGTTATGAAACAAGACATTTCCTGAACTTGGTGATCTCTTGACAGCTATAGCTAATGCTGGAAGTTATCCAGGACCAGGTTGTATCAGGACTTAAGTGATACATTCATGTGTCATAGCACCCCTGTTACTGAACGTGCAATAATGTGTTGGTTTTATCAAACTACAACACTATGCCTGCATTAGCTACCCATCATCATGATGGAGGTCACTTACGAACCCGCAACACCAAGCATGTAATAATAGGTACTATGTACTAATATGACTTTCCAATATTTGGAGTTGAGAGAATGTTTTCACATCCTTAGCCTAGACAGTGTAGATGACATGAAACTAAAAATACTGTTTGCTAACGAGGAATTGTTGAAAAGTTATAACATGTATATGGGAAGACCCTGATTTAAAGACACCTTCCTGAAAATCTCACATTTTAAGTATGATTAGTTAATGACAGATAAATTCCTACTTTGTACAATATTTATTGGTGTGACCATTAAGTAATGAAACAAGTAGGGTTTAGTGTGTCCAGTGGTCAATGAGTGTTGGATACTGTGTCCAGATAACATGAACAGTGGAGCATTGACTCACACTTTGTCAAATTAGATGGATGTGATTTGTTTTGTTGTTTATTTGGTTGATCTTTATCCAGTGTTGCTCAAATTGTGACAATCATGTTAACCTGTGGTCGATTATGTATAATTAAAAAAAAAAACAATTTAAATTTTCTTTTTATATGTTTATTTTGATAGGCTACCTGTTGGAGGGGTAAAGGGTTGACAATGGCAGCAGTACTACTGTGTTGAATGTATCGGAACACACTGACAACATGTAAATTAGAAGTTACAAAATGACCAACGGTTGTACTTGGCTTCTGTTTCTGGGAGTCCAACCTCAGATTCTGTGACAACTGAGGGACACTTTTCTCTATAGAGCAATTCAGTGCTTTTCACATGGGTCTAAGATGAGTTGGAAGGAAGGTCAAGGTCTCAGCAAGGACAATACAGGATAGCTTGCAGAAAATTGGTTATGGCCCAAAATACAATTGCTGTATTTGTTAAGGCCGAATCTTGCTAATAGCTACTTGAAACATTGAATCATTCGACAATGTTGGGACTTGATACTCCCTACATCATAAAAGCCGTTCCTTAAAGCTTAATTTCAATGAAGAGACATTACATTGCATACCTCTTGCTGAAAACTGCATATTCAGCCAAGAGACATTGTTGATACAGCAGCGTGAATATTCTCGATTAATCCATAGTCAAGTTCAAAAGTAGGCTTTGTATGAGATGTTACCTGTGTTAACAACGGCTGCAGTCAGAGCCTTCTTACTTCCTGTCCTCTTGCACATCACCAGCAATCAGGAAGCCAGATACAACATTGGGTAGATCATACTCCTGTGAAGATGTATGTGTTTACTGGCCTGTATACTTGACAATAATACTACTTGACACATTTACTAGTCTTTTCGTAGACACTAAACAAGCTGAAAGTGAAAAAGTAATGTCTAATTTTCCATGTACACTGCACAAGGTCAATGCAAAGTTAAATACACAGGTACTAACGGGTTCTAGTTTTCTGTCCGGGTATTTGGAAGATACCGATACGTATGAACTTATACAAAGAGTTTTGAAATATCTTTATATTTTTCTTTGCAAGAGAAGATGAATGACTCGGCAAACAGCCATTCCATTCCATTGTTGGATTATAGAGAACTTGGAAGTTAGAATGATGAGCTGTTCATTCAGGAGAGCTGAAAGGTGGGAGGTTTGATTCCCTGGTACCTTACATCGACCGATGTAAAAAACAGTACTTACTGTTACCCTGCTCTATGGGCGGGATCCAGGGCTTAACTCGGAGACCGTGCATGGTGTTGTAAGCATTCATCCATGTTGATGTGTATCATGTGTTGTTACCTAAGTACAGTATAAAACAGTACTAATATGATATGACGATATTCGAAATAATCGTAGAGAGAGCATTCATTAAAGTCCACCAGTATCCAAGGGCAATTTAAAAAGTTTTGGTCCAAAGTGGCGATTATACGCTAGGATACGTTTCTTTAACCAATTTAATAGACGACAGTACTGAAAATGAATTTTTCGTGACATGGCACGTGTCCTGTCGCCACATCGGTGCTGACTCGAACATTAACGATTGTTAGTCGACTTGTGAGGATGTACCAGTGAAGAAAGGATCGTCCAAGAAAGATAGAGGAAGACCAATGACCAAGCTTGACAAAAGGCAATCCCATGACACATGCAGAAGAACGTTATAGTAGCACCAAAGGAGCATCGGTATGAACCCTTCGAACCCACAGAAAATTCAATTGACTGGTTTTATCAAAAAGTAAAAGATCAGGTTTCTTGTCTTGGAGACGTCTGGTTCTGTATATTGGCCTATTCCACAGAATTTTGTAATTGTCGTTTTCCATGATGCCTTCAACATATTCGGGTTCGTACCATAGATGGACCTCGGCCACAAGCCACAAGCATGTAACATCAAAGACCGAGCAACGTCATCACGTCAATTAAGATAGTGTGTCTATGCCAACGCCGGTCATCCACTCACAAGGTATTGAACAGTCTCATTGAGCTCCTTCCATAATCTACATGACATTTTGAACTCACACATAGTTACAAGTGGGAAGTGACTGGTCCTGAGAAGCGGACAGAGAGCCTTCTGTTTCACTTTTCAGGCCAGCCGACTTCATCCATGTGAAGGACTCGGCAGTTTTGCTCTTCTCCTCAAGACACTGTCCGTAAATAGGATGCAGCATTCGTTCAGAGCCCTTCCCTGTACTGATTTGATATGGCACTTCGCTTGGCTGACACTCATTCCTGTACCACCCACAGAACCATTAACAAAATCAACTTTGACGTTGAGATTCTACACAGCATCCTAATAAGCTTTTTTTAGATGACTGTGGACTGTCTTCCTTTCGTGATGAGTTTCGACATGAATCATAGCAGGAGAGAATTCTGTCGTGAAGAGCCTCCGCCTTAATCAAACCTCCCATTAAAATTGACAAATCGAAACGACTGAACGAAGAGCTAGGGTTGTGGCCTCTAATTTGCCCGAAGTTTGTCCTTTGTTTTAATTATTATACACTTAATTGTGTTACAGTTACCATTTTAATATGCGGAATTTGGGTTTCAAGCATATAAAAGAACATGTAGTGTTTTGTACTTATATAAAAAGGTGAGTGGCGCTTGGTTAATACTCATGCGTATATAAACTGGGTGGATTTATGGTTGTATTTAAGATTCTTCTAGGGATCAAACTAATTTACACTGCCCTGTCAATCAAATTATTTAAACTCCCATAGCAATCACGATATTTCAGATTCCCAGGGTCGAATATTCACATTTTCTCGAGTGTGAATTGTGAATGTTATCCATGTCATATATTCATATACAGAATGGGCAGGGATAACTCCTACTGGACGTACTCCACTGCACGTGGTCGACGGTAATCTTACCGGACAGCGTTATCGGGACGAGATTCTGACTCATACAGCAGTACCATTCTGCAAGATATGTATGGCTTTTATGGTCGACCCTCTTTATTGTAAGACGACAACGCAAGGCCACATAGGGCCAGGATTGTGACGGAAGTCCTTAGGCAGCAGGGTGTAAGCTGAAGGGGTGGTTGGCATCCTCGCCAGACCTCAACCCAATTGAGCATGCACATGCCTGGGATGAACTGGTCGATGTGTGTACACACGTCACCCAGCACCAGTGGATCTCCCAGGATTTCGCAGAAGTCTAGTAGAGGAATGGAATGCGATTCCACAAGCTTTCTTTACTCCAAGACCAAAATTATCCTGTGAACAGGATAAGGTTGGGTCTTTGGCAAATAGTTCAAAACCTAAGACACATTATGTCTTTTAGCAGCATTTAGAAGTCGTATGTAGATATCCAAGATATTTGTTTTATAGATTTAAGCTTCTTTTTATTTCCCTCACAATGTTTCGGGACCATTACAGATCCCTTCACCAGGTGGATTTAAGCTTCTTTTATTTCTCTCACAACGTTTCCGGACGATTACAGATCAATTCATCAGGTTTGGTGCTCGTAACGGTTAGATGTCATTAGAAGCCAGTGGAGCTCGGACCTTGTAGAATCTGTAATTTGTCCTATACGATAAGATAAATATCACTTCATGGTTATTTGTAATCATTGTTGTGATCTGAGGAACACCCATAGTACTGAGAAATATTAAAAACATGTATCTGGACAAACATATTGCATTTTGTCATCTGTAAATGATATTTTTATAGAAAATATTGGCATGTACATTAGAAGTATGACCCATTCGAATAAAGAACATAGCATATATGTAACATGTTGTGTATATATAGAATCTGTGTCTTCCCCACTTCCGGGTTATTGTAATGCAGCGGGAAATGGAAAGTATCATTCACACGGTCACTGTATGTTTCTCCATTACAGTCCTGTTCGACACACAGTGTAGAAGGTAAAGTACTGTTTCCATATTACATAATGAAAGGAACGTGTACAATCGTTTTGTTTTAACCGATATGCGACAATAAACAGAACGAAAATGCAACCAGACTAGTCAATAGGACAATCGTACTTAAGGATGGTATTTAAGTCATGCATTTTAACAAACACTTTGCTTCATGCATGCAGTTTGAGTGATTTGTTTCATTGATTGTGTCATTTGACTTAATACTGTACATAGTAAATGTAAATGTGTTGAGAAAACGTCACCAACATGATTTAAAAGGAATTCGATGCCACGCCCATTTAATAATGGACCCTTAATGCGTCATTAATAGTTGCGTTTAAAGAAAGACGTTAACTATCTTATTGTAGAAGCTCATTTTGCCCACATGTCACATGCTTCTGTAGGTTAGCGTTTCATCGACTACAGGTTGAGGAATTTGTACCTTCAAACATGCGTCACCACAGCGTCCTCGTTCTAACAATGTGCGGGCTGGCTCTCACTCAGTGGACTGGTGAGTGTATGAAGCGGATAGTCGACATTTATGTTCTATAAATGACGCCCGCGCGCCTTTACACATGTCATATGTAACCGGGGATGTTCAGTCATGACACACAGGTCGGGTTTGAGTTTCAAGGATTTATTGGAGGAGTATAAGTCAGAACAAACGCCATGAAACATATATAACAATAAGTACATATATATATATACACACACATGCGTATGTAAGGGTACATTACAATCAAAATTCATATTTATATTCATATATATGCACACATTTAATCAAATGGATGACGTGGTATAATGTAGTTAAATAATACATTTATCAAATACATTCAAGAATAAACTAGAATGTATACATATGATATGCATAAAGACTACTTTTATATAGATACACAAAAAGAGTTAAAAGCGTATCCTGTGGGTAGTACTTGGGCGCGGACTGACTGCACCAGTTGATTATACCAACTGCATCTAAATACAAATAAATATACAAATATAAATACTATTGAAAGACTGGGTAACATACCATGTATGACCGACAACATACCTTGGACTGACTGACTGACTGACTGAGTTTAGTTTTACGCCGCTTTTAGGAATATTCCAGCAATATCACGGCGGGGGGCACCAGAAATGGGCTTCACACATTGTGCCCCTGTGGGGAATCGAACCCGGGTCTTCGGCGTGACAAGCCAACGCTTTAACCACTAGACTACCCCACCGCCCGACATACCTTGGAACACTTCAAAACATACATACATACATAGTTATAGACAAACACATAAATGATAAAAGTGTATACTCGCTCTATCATTCTCAAGGACAGAAATAGGAAAGTGAAAAGCTGATGTTTAGGTGAATTAAACTTACTGTTTTAGTTAAATTACATTTTTGGTTATACCTATATTGATTATATAGATAATATCAAAACATGATTTTACTATAACTGATTAAGCACTATATACAAGTACATAATTGTAAAATACATACAAAATACATACCTTACCTGTAGTAATGTCTGGTCAGTCTCAGTCTACAGTGGCTTGTGTGCTGTGCTGGTGAAGTGCTCAACGTTAGTATTTTAAACAAGACCAATCAGGCGTAAGCTATCTTAAAACAAAGGAGTGACCCAAGCTATGCAATCTAACCCCACAGCTACCCAAAGGCAGTTAAATAATATTAAAGGTGAATTAAAGACAAGTCAACCAGGAGCTAAATAGAAAGCAAGTATATTTTATTCTGTACCTCACAGTAAAAATTAGTACATTATTTTTTTACAACATTGAATATATACAAATATGTAAAATACAGATATATACATATGCAACACTGCCACACATATCCCACATGGGCCCTACCCTGTGATCAGCTTTCAGGTATTAATGTTGTCAGTGATTAAATGTATGACATATGTTCATGAATATAAGATTGATGTTCAAAGTAGTCAGTAGATATGGTGCAGGCCCTTTCACGAATCATGGACTATCACTAATATATCAGGTCCAAACATGAGATTTACTTGTCTTCGATGATTGGCTTCTCTTGTGTAATTTGTAACATAAAAGTTCAACTTTATATTAGGCTGGATAACATTGAATATCACTGATTTAGCATCTCACCAATTCACTTATGCCCAGTGTGTCATGTAGTGTCGAGAAATGCACGTCTGTACTTCTATAGTTGCAGGCTTCCCATCGTGTCAGGATAACAGTCCAGATTATTATTGTAGAAGTATCTCCTGCAAGCAACCAGGAAGTGGGGAACTGTGCCAGAAAACATGCGGTCTTTGTCCAGAAGGTGAGGGAGAAATGTACACAACAACTGCTGTGTTTCATGGTGAAATGGTTAGAGTGTTATTATTAATTATATAAACAGCTTTTTAATATGTATCTGATGTTGTTTTGTCTGGTGAAATGAAAACAAGTCGCATCAAAACGAACATTTATTGTTGTAACTTTTGGTTTTCCCACTGAGTCACCAGGGCCGGTGATGAAGGGTGTACGATGTTTCCGTAGTCTTTCTTGTATTTCCTTCATTAGTTAGACAACATGCTCTTACGCAGTTGTCGCTGGAACTGTAAAACTCATTTTCAAGTCATAGAGATTTGCAAAAACTCCACAAACACTGTAGGGGAGGACAGTTTATATCTTCACATATTGATGGAATGATCTGTGCTACATTCTCAGTATTCCAACGCTTCTTTCAACGTGTTGTTAACTCTGTTTCGGTTTTTTAATAATAGTTATTAAACATGGTTGACTGTGAAACCTGTTTTCCACAGACTGCAGATCGGGATACTTCAAGGATGGTTCCTCGTGCGGGAAATGCAAGGATGGCGTCGATGTACAGTCAGACGACTATAGAAGGAAATGTGATGTTCCCTGTAACCATAGCAACACGTGGGGCGCAGACTGTCGAACTCGATGTAGTGAAGGATGTAGGAATCAAACATGTCACCGGTGGAGAGGACACTGTCTCCAAAACTGCAAGCCAGGCTACTATGGGTCTACATGTGAATTACATTGTGACGGGTGCAGGTCGTGTGGAGACCGAGGTGATACTTGTGACAATGAGGGGAGGTGCTTGTGTGGCTGCATGAGAGGAAAACGAGGTGACAAATGTGACCAAGACTGTCTACACTGTGAAATGTGTTCAGGAAATAACTGTACATGTCAAGAAGGATTCCGGGGTGCGTTGTGCAGAGAGACCTGCGTGAACTGTAAGAGTTGTAATGTAGCCAACTGTATATGTCAAGACCGGGGTGCTTCCAGTGAGACCTGCGTGAACTGTAAGAGTGTAATGTAGCCAACTGTATATGCAAGACTGGTTTCCATGGAGATGCCTGCACCCTGCTCCCAGCAAAAACGTATGTGGTCAGGCAGGAGTGTGTACACGGGGCTGTGACGGGGCATGGTATGGGCCTTCGTGTGATATACAATGTGATAACTGTGTGGGAGGCCACTGCTCGTTAAACGGGACATGTACTTCCGGGTGCAATAGAGGATGGTATGGTGCCAAGTGTGATGAAGCCTGTGATGCCAGCTGCGAGGACCAACTTTGTCACGGTAACGGAACCTGTGAAAGATGTAAGCCCGGATTCTATGGAGACCGTTGCAGGACCACATGCAGCACTGACTGTCGTAACCAGACATGTGACCGGAGTGGAACTTGTGGATCCTGCAGAGTTGGGAACTTTGGGGACACGTGTCAGCGACAGTGCAGCTCCAACTGTGTGAATCACACCTGTGAACAAATATCAGGAACGTGTATCAATGGCTGTGCCACAGGCTGGTACGGAGATACATGTGATGTAAACTGTCCCGACCGATGTGCCTCACGGTCCTGCCACAGAGACACCGGGTCCTGTCCATCTTGTGTGCAGAGATTCCGAGGCTCCCACTGCAACGTGTCATGTCCACAGTACTGTACGAAATGTGAACAGTATAGCGACAAATGTCTCACTTGTCAACAAAAACATTTCGGGTACAAGTGTGAACAATTTTGTTCACCTGGTTGTAAAGGAGGAATATGCCGCCACGAAACTGGAATATGTTCACAGGGATGTATTGGAACATTCTACGGCCATTTCTGCAACAATTCCTGCAGCGACCACTGTGTCAACAGAGCCTGTCATACAGGAAGGACCGACGTAGATACACCCCAGTGTACTGACGGATGTGAAGATGGATGGTGGGGGACTACTGTGACAACACGTGTCCTCCTCACTGTGTGAAATGTGACAGACATCGTGGCCAGTGTCTGGCGTGTGAAGCCACGAGATACGGCGAGAACTGTAACTTGACCTGTAACACTGCCTGCCTGAAGTCACAATGTAACCTGACAGGAGACTGTATAAACGGGTGTGAGAGCGGGCGTTACGGGAGCAGGTGTTCTGAAAGATGTCCCCAGGTGTGCAACAACACATGTCAACACGATGGTGCCTGTGTTACGTGTGCTGATGGCTGGATGGGAGAACACTGTACTGGTAACATTAAATTTGATGAAAATATAACATTAACAGCTTACTTGTGTGAACATCTCGCTCGTTATCTCGGCGTTCTTTACTTCCATCTAATGCATTTCATTGAAAGTCTTTGTCCCTATTTTCAGAACCATATTCACTTCATCGCCAGACTTGGATCTTTTATGCTGTGATTGGTGTCTTGGCGTCAATTGTTCTGATCATGGCAGCTCTCTTCATTAAACGGTATATTTTTAGAAACCACTGGGAATATACATGTATATTTGAATATTCCAAATTATTATCCTCATTGAATATAGCCTCTGACAATAATTACACATTTTAGTAACAGCTAACATTGGTTTTGATGCTGTTCCCTGGTGGCCAGACCGTCCATGTTGTACAGTTCCTTTTCGTGACTGAAAACTGTGATCTCGGGTTCGAATCCTATATTGTCCTGATAATAATGTGATCACCACACTGTACCCGTAGTAAACGCCTTAAACCCTGCGTCACTTCGGACTTTGCTCCCGGAAGAAGCTGGTAAACTCACTCACTCTCACTCACCAACTCACTCTGTTAAAGAGGGTAGTCTGTTATGCCTTTAATATCTAATTAATCAGATAATGTGTGCATGCTCTGTACAATAAATGCCATGAATTTATGACACATTATACTTCCAAATATCTACAATCAATTTGTATCTTGCAGACACGTCGTGAACGGTTTTGCTGGGATATACGTTTCACCTGTATTTAACGATCTGGAATCAGGATCTGACAACATCTCTCTGGAACAGCTCGGACAATCACGTGACAGCGATTATCGACATTATGAAATGATTCAAGACGGAGCTTATCCACAGGCGGCTGGTCCAGATGAAGATGACAGTTCGTCGGAAGTTTCAGCTCCAAGACACTATGAGCCACTAAGGCCAGTCGAAGACAGTGTGGAGTACACACATCTGGCGTCGGTGTTTGATTAGATTCAGGCTTGAGCAATATACACTCGACACTGTAAGTTGTCCGTCAGTGTTGAGGGGTATATGATTGATCAACCTCTAGGTTCCCCATCTTAAACTAACATAGGTATATCAACCAGTGTCACCCGAAGGACCGGTGGACAATGAATGTTTCTTGCAGCATAACTAATTATATTGCAGGTATGTCTAATGTATACATGCTTTGGTCCGAATCGGGAAGAATCCCTCAGTTAGGCATTTATAGCAAACGTAAAACAAGTGCTTAGATCTACTTCATTCAGAAAATATCGCAGCTTCTTTCGTTATCAATTGCAGTCCATAGGCGGATCCAGAGTGGGGTGCAGGGGTGTGCACCACCCCTTTTGCCCTGAAAGTTTATTAAATGACCATTGAAGTGTGCACCCCTCCTTTTCTCAAGAGTGTACAGCCCTCCTTTCTCAAAAGCTGTATCCGCCCCTGCAGTCTGTATGTTGCAAATGTAACTTTGTAAAGCCAACAGATCGGCAATTCGAGCAGGAACTACACGAAATGTTCCTTACGTGAGCGGGATAACGGATTATAATAGTACGTTATAGTTGTTGTTTGTTTGTTTTTTACATTTTTCAGGGCACATTATGTTCATTAAAGGTGAAACCCTCAGAATTTGTACATACCCACCTTTCATTATATGGTATTTTATACAGTTATCTCCCTTACACTGCATTTGCATTGGCAAGAACTACCCCTGAACGTTAGTTAATAGCAGTGGTTTCAACATTACAGGTTTTATAGCACCGACTTCTTTTACAGTGGGCTCCTTATCTATCAAATCTCTTGCGATATAAAACTGAAAATGTATCTAGGATCTGTTCAATCCCATTTTTAGTCAGCGCTGTGTGAGCGATCTATCAATGTAGTGTAATATATTGTCGATGATTACTTCAGCCACCTGTTACTCACATGTACATAACTCTGAATCACTGTATATAGAAACCACATCCACATTGTTGACAGGGATGTACAACATTATACTATCTATAAGCTCTGAGTCACCCTAATCAGACCCCAGCATGTATGAGAAAGTCTTGACTTCCGACCAGTGTGTTACTCAGGCAGAGAGATGGAACTTGCGTTTATGTGTGCCTTACATTCAGTGTCTATAATGAACTTGTGTACATTCTAAATATTTTTACACAGAGCGCTATCTTATCTTTAGTTCATTATATTACAGGGTTTCTCTCATTCCTTTCATACATTCCAACGGCTTATCTATGTTTAATATTAGAAACAATCTGTACTTAATAATACTCGCCTTTGTACTTTTCACCAACGCAGCACTTATGTAATGACACTGACTGAGTTTGGTTTTACGCCGCTTTTAGCAATATTCCAGCAACATCACGGCGGGGGACACCAGAAATGGGCTTCACACATTGTACCCATGTGGGGATTCGAACCAGGGTTTTCGGCGTGACGAGCCAACGCTTTAACCACTAGGCTACCCCACCGCCCCGACACTGACATGACACCGTGATGACAGATGATAGCGTCACTAGAAAGGGAAAACTGTCCGGGTGGTATTGTGCCTGGGGTTCCATCGGGCAGCAAAAATCGTAGGTAGGTAGGTAGGTAGGTAGGTAGGTAAGGTTTAAGGGCGACCTTGGGCCTTAAAAGGCCTATATGCGCCCAACACTTAACAAACTGTTATATTTTTGTTCAGGTAAATTACTTCGTACTTACCCGTTTTAACGACGAAGTCTAATACAGCTCTTTGTATGCAACCATACATTATATTACCACCAAGTATTGCGTTCATTGTAAAAGTATTCTTGGTTTTGTTAAGCACAGTTTCTTTAAGAGCCTTACGTGGGTTTTCATGAGCTGGACATTCAATGAGGTAGTGCTGAACTGTTTCTTGGCAGTGTAAGTTACAGCTTTCACACAGAGGAGATAGGTCTTTATCTAAAATACTTCAATGTAGCAAACATCGTGATCATTGATGAGTTATCTCCCTTGCACTACATCGTCAATGCCATGACGGAAGTATTATGATCCTTGTCAAATTGATAATCGTTCATGAATATATGTATATAATATGGGTTGCATTGTGACTTGTGTACAGTTTCCATTTTGTGTTCTTCGTGCTTCTCTTTCATGAACTGTTCTGTCGGTTCTGTTTACCCTCCTCAACAACTGTTCGGAAATTCAAAAGATTTTTATAACCAAACGCTATTCTATAAATACATTGGCTTGTCCAATACCCTGGAACAGTTACGTCTACCTTGTTATTAATAAAGCATGTTTATCTTTTAGTGGCGGACTTACTTATATATCTACACTTTGATCTCATCACAGTGTATATACGTTCATATCAAGATGTCAGTGAATTCACCAATATTTTCTCTGTCATCAGTAAAATTTCACACTCGTCGTATGGCACACTTGCTCGTGTAATAATCTCTATATATTCTGTGTCATCAGTTACCGCGTTTCAGCTGTAACGAGACACATACTATACTGTATAGTACATGTTCTATGTGACACAATGAGCAACCCACACTATTCTCAACGAGCAGAGTCCATAGTGTAAGCCCGACTTCATCATAGCCATGTGTTGAGGGATCACTATTACCAGGTGTTCCGGAAAAACCTTTCCTTTCACACCGGTGGCACGCGTCACAAACACACGGAAAGGCAAGTTAAGTATTCAACTGACAACAACACGGTAACAATGGTGGTCCGTTGTACAGCGAACAAGTCGCAACTCTGGTGACTCTGGAGCTCCATAGATACACATTATTGTACAGATGGCTCGGGTTATCCTGGCTTATTCAACCCTGTTAGACTCATCATCATCTCAGGACCCTTGCCCCTTCCACAGGCAGCCCAAACCACGAATGGGGCTTGTCCCAGAAGCGCTGCCTTGTCGAACCCACCAAAAACAATATGGAGACTCCCCAACACTACAGTCCTCTGTATTACCAAGATCGTCAGACGGGCTGTGTTTCTGGCAAGAAACCCGGGTGTTCTTCTCACAATGTCAGTCATGAGAATGGGGAGTACCAAACCTAAGGCTCACGGAACAATGGGGAATCAGACAGCTTGGTACTTGGGACGCACACACGCACACACGGATAACCATATTTTCAAACATACAAACACACAGCAAATCCCACACAGAGACCTATATACGGTAGCGCGCCTCGAATATTAAGTTAAATGAATGATTATCATAATGATGGGTTAATGAGAATTCATCATGACACCTGGTGTTCGCGAAAAGGGTAACAAGACTTTTCTGCCGGTAGCACCCTTCATTCGTTAATTTACCTGTACCATTGCACCAAGAAATACTCCAGCATTACTACAGATATCTGAAACTACTGGACCAAACAATCCAGTGATCAGTATCAAGTCACCAAGCCTGACCATTTCATCGTCCCGATCCAAGGACCAGTAAGTCAGTGAGTTTAGTTTTACGCCACACTCAGCAATATTCCAGCTATATGACGGCGGACCAGACAATCCAGTGATCAACAACATGAGCATCGATCTACGCAATAGGGATACGATGACATGTGTCAACCAAGTCAGCGAGCCTGACCACCTGATCCCGTTAGTCGCCGACCAGTAAGTGCCACTAAGTACATTTATATCAACTTCCTAAAAATGGCATTATATGGGAAAGCATCGCATCGTGTTGACAGGCGACAGAATCGGGTGTCAAAACTTTGATTGAAAAGCCTTGCTCATAAAAAATGCGTCTTTCCTTGAAATCTGAGTTATAAACTGTGGAACAGCTCTTTTTTCGTGCAATTGAAAATTGTAAGGACAATTGTTGAATGTGTGTGTTTTGTTTATCCATCACTCAAACATTCCTGCAACAGTTGGTTAAAACAGTCTGTAGCTTGGTAATTGTGTGTAAAGAAGAATTGGTTCGATTCCGACTTGGGCAAGAAATAAATATACAACCAAATGACCCCAACAATGTTTGAAATGTATATTTCTGAGATACCATTAAGCATTCATGCGAATATGCTAGGGTCATTCAACTCCAGTTTCTTCTGTCGAATGATGTGGAAACCAAAAACTAAGAAAGATATAAACTCTGTTAGATGTGACAATGTGAACGAGATAAAATAGTTTAAACAGCTCATGATTGCTGAAATATCAACAGTCAAATCGCAATTGAGTGACCTATGAGACAAATGCTCTACTCCAGAACATACTGTGACGGATATCCGCAAAGATATCGATAGATTATCACAAGAACGGAGTACTGTATACAATGATGTAGACGAATTAAACAGGAAACTAGAAAACATTGTGGATAAGCAGATGATATTGACCATTTTATTTTAGAGAATCCTATTACTGAGTCTGAAATAAGCTCATGTCTCAATCATTTAAGGGGGGTGGGGGGGTAAAGCAGTTGGACACGACGGAGATATAATTGAATTGTTACAGTCTTCCGAAAATATCATCATGCCTTTCCTTGTGAAATTGTTTAATATGCTTTTTGACAAATGGGTTTTTTTCCAAATGCCTGGAGTAAAGCTATCATAGTGCCTCTTAATAACAAGGGCGATCGAAGCAACCCAGAAAATTGTAGAGGAATATCATTACTATGCGTATTAAGTAGACTATATACATCTATCTTGCATATTCGTATTACGAATTGGCCTTATATAAGAGACAAGATACCAAAGAGTCAGGCAGGGTTTAGACAGGGACTTCCAACCTTAGACCATATTTGTACTTTAACTGGAATTATAGAAAAGTGTCTCCTTAAGAAGAAAAATAAATTATACGTAGCGTTCATAGATTTCAAGAAAGCCTTTGATTCTGTTGACTGATCAAGGTTCTGAAAACGTTTCTGTAAAACTGGTATAGGAAGGAATTCAATTATTAGTATATATCATTCTGTAAAAGCTTGTGTTAGATGTAATAATGTAGACACCTATTATTTTGAATGTCCAGTGGGTTTAAAACTAAGTTGTGTACTTATTCCCATATTGTTTCTTTCTTCATAAGTGAATTGTCAGTTGAACTATCAAAACATGGTAAATACGGCATACAAC